AGGCGAAACTCTTGTAATTTATTCAAACCCATTCGTGAGTTCTAAATCGTAACAATGGGATGTGTAGCATTCCACTTGGCTTTGAAGTTCCATGCTCCGAACCGCGCTTCCACCGCGGGAACTTTCGAGAGCAAGGCTCCAGTTTTACATTTATTACAAAATATTAAATTACCGGCAAAATTTCAGTGTATATCAAAAACTTTATATGGGGATTGTATTGGAAATAGTGCATCAAACGCATTTTCAAATTTAGTACTCCATCCTTAGTAGGAGACCAGCCTGTAGGTCCCGTGACCAATCTCTGGGAACAAAGGTTTGAAAGTGTTTTTGTGTTCCCTGATGAATACCGAACAATTTGGACTTGGGCTGCCCCCTTGAAAATATCAGGCATTTTCGTGAGGGGTCAACAAAGGTCACACAGGGATAGAAATTTAAATAGTTTTAATCGTGTCAATATGCATATCAAATTACTCGTCTGGTCATGAGGATTCCAAAAATGTATAGTTTGCTATACCTCCGATTTTAAATGAGGGCGCTATGGTCAAAAATGTTGAAAGGTCAACACACTTTTGACTTGTGGTCAAATTCGCCAACACAGTGAACCTTATAAAATTGCATATCAAATTACTCGTCTGGTCATAAGGATTCCAAAAATATATAGGAGACTAAAAAAAAAGAAGAAGTGTCCTCTTACCCCCCCCCCCCCCCCCCCGCTTATTCAGCGGCTGGCGGAGTCGTTGCGATTTTTGGGGGGATCCAAAAAAAGAAAGAAAAGTGTCCTCTTCCCCCCCCCCCCCCGCTTATTCAGCGGCTGGCTGAATTGTCGCGAATTTTTCGGCCCAATTTAAAAATGTTAACCCCCCCCCCCCTTGAAAAAATCATGCGTACGCCCCTGATGGGAATAATATCATATTAGCATGTTCATTATGAGTCGTCTGAGTTACGTAGTGGTATGAAGAACAAGAACAAGAAAATAAATCATAAGAGATGTTCAATTTATCGGAGATCATTAGGAATAATAAAAATCATTATTTAAACAAATTTGTTGCTTACACCCATTTAATAAGATTGTTTGATCGATCTGTAATTGGAAAAAAAAGTACAAAAAAATATCTTGGAACCAGCGGGACTTGAACCTGCATCTAACTGCTTGCCGGGCAGCGACTCTACCACCAGGCCATCACTGGTCCATTGTACGGTCATGACGAACTAGAAACAAATACCCAAGCTCTCCTAATTCATTCTGATTTATTAATATTCATTAGTCCGCCATATGACAATAACTTTTATAAATGTAATGCTTCCTGGTAGAAACTTAAATTATTTAAACATATTTGTGACTTACACCCAGTAGATAAGATCGATTGATCGATCTGTAATTGAAAAAAAAAACAAGTCAGAAAAAAATCTTGGAACCAGCGGGACTTGAACCTGCATCTAACGGCTTGCCGGGCAGCGACTCTACCACCAGGCCATCACTTGTCTATGGCACAGTCACGACGAACTAGAAACAAATACCAAAGCTCTCCTGATTTATTCTGACTCATTAATATTCATAAGTCCGCCATAGGACAATAACCTTTATAAATGTAATGCTTCCAGGTAAAAATTTCAATTATTTAAGCATATTTGTGGCTCACACCCAGTAGAATGTAATTGAAAAACAAGTCAGAAAAAACCAGCGGGACTTGAACCTGCATCTACTGCTAGCCTGGCAGCGACTCCACCACCAACCCTCGCGATAAATATAGGCGAAAAAATAGGTAAGATGCTAGAATGTTGAAATTCCTTTTAAATTGTTAACCTTATTTGTGTACGCTCCAGCGCAAAATTTGACAAGAGCCTAATTAAACACTTTTCAATTAGAGCAAAGCGATTATAATTAATGTAGACCCCTTCGTATGGACTATGCTATGTTGGGGTGAAGAACTACACGATCCCGAATCAGCATAATTATACAATAGATTAAAATGACCATGATTTTGAAAATGATCGTGTTTTGAAAACTTCAACAAGTCCTTTTCCAGCTTGTGCACCGTTTGTTTTGTATTTTGGGGTATATTCTCATTCTACAGTTCTTCTTCTTCTCTTTCTTACATTTGTAATTCTCTGCCTTCTCCGTATATAGACCTATACGGCATTATCGATACATGATTCAAACAAAAGTGAGTTCATTTCCTTTCGTTTTTTTTTTCTTTCCTTTTGAAAATGTTGTGAAACTTTAAATAACTTCTTCGTCCGAAAACAAATTGCCTTCGAGATTATTCCCGAAAATGACTTGCTTTTCTGGGCCGGTTATCGGGATCGCGCCATCACTCGGCTTAATGCGTATAGTCGGCGAATAAAACATTCAATATAAAGGGTCCAGAACTAGACTAAGCGTGAATTAGCGTGGGGTCCAGGAGGCGGAGCCCCTGGAAGCTCAGGGATTTTAGGCATTTAATCACAGTCAGATGAGCATATTTTGATATATTTTTGTGACGCTGACAGGTCACTATATTCTGCGATACAGGTGTTTAATTTTCTGTACCAATTAGGCTTCTACGATCGATTTTACGGAACTGATTTTATGAATCCAAAAACACCCGAATTTGGAAGCTTTGCCGACATGCTTGACGATGCCCTCCGCGTATGTACTTCTCGCATTTGCTATTTTTCACGCTTTTTTGCTGAATTAGGTTTGGTAAATCGCGCCTTTATTTGCAAGGTGCTATGAAAAAAAAACAATTCAGAGAAGCAACCCACCCGGTAAAAATAACTAGCAATAAACTTGTTCTTGAAAATATTATTTGATATCGTTTTGTGTATGTATTAATTATTAATATCACAATCCCTGTGTCAGTCCTAATTGATTAATTGATTAATTTGTAATAACTTTTTTATTATTATTAATATGCGCGTTAGTGGAATTTTGATTAAAGTGCTAAAACATGTGTCTTCTATTTTTGTAAATGATAGTGTTCTTCAGATTTGCGATGAAGAAATATATGATTTGGTTTCAGTCAAAATATATACGGCCCATGTGAATATGGCGAGCGAAAAAAATAATACTCACTCAAAAAACAGCACCATACATCCAACTTTCCCAGCAAGGTCTTGTACAACACTTTCGAATGAACCTGGTATAATTAAAGATAACAAGAGAGAACGTGTTTATACGTTGTGCATGATGAACATTGTTAATACTATGAACATGAAATTTAGCCTACATGAAGAAGTAGAGAGAGAACAAGGTAGAACAACTTGTGCAATTGCCAGAATAACACAAATGAATGAATTCTTTGTGCAATAACATTTAAGCAAACCACACAAAATCATATTATGTGATAACAAAAACAGTGAACAAAATGCGTTTCATGAAGAGAATCTTACATGGGTTTGGAAGACGTGGAATCATACTAAGAAGAGGGAGACACAATTATGATAAATCTACGAACCTATGTACGTCAAGAACATGTATAATATTATATGAGAATTTTGTAATAATTGCAGTGGTCAGTAATAGTACCATTCCAAAGCCAGTAATAGAAACACCCATAACGACATCAACTCAATGAGGATGTTTGAAAAGCCCAAGACATCACTCTCTTTAATGAAATTTGTGCATGTATATGTTAACACTGTTTAAGCTTCATGATATTGAAAATGTATTTGAGAAATGCTTGTTTAAGGGCCCCGTATTTGTATCCCCATATGCTTTTGAGAGAGAAAAGGCTCAGTTATATAATTATTCGCAGTTCCTTGTTAATAATCCCAATATGTTGATATGACGATTGACAATGTTGGAAAACCTGTTTCCGCAATTGACATCCACACGCGTAAGCCCATGCATAGTACCCACCTGGTAGTCTCCAAACTAATTACATCATTACATCGGGCAGGTCAGGCTTATAGCCACAGTGAAACATACACATCATATAACTAAGTTCATATAGCTGACATGTTAAATTGATCAACGGCTTACTCATATTTGTTTTTTAAAATTATATTCTTTAAAAAATGATATATTGCGCTCTATATGTTTGATGTGTGTCATGTAATAAAAATTATAAGAGTTTTATTTTGTTACTGTTAAACTAATGACTTTACAAGAGAACGCAAGTGTTCACATAATTCTCCCTTTCAGATGATAAATGTTGGATGATGGCAACAGTTTCTGTGTTACCCAGGCGTATGTCCTGGTTTATACCTTCAATATACAAACGATTAAATTGCTCAAGACAACTGCAATTTAGCAAACATAATTGAACATTCAAAGCGAATGAGTATGTGTGTGCGTGAAAAACCAAAAAAAAACGGCATAAAACACCCTCCATCCGGCAGGCGGAGGGCGCTGAGTTGTCCAAAAAAAAAAAAAAAAAAAAAAAAAAAATGAGTATACTAATTACATTCATTGTAACATAACGTATGGTTGTGATAAGTTAGTGTAATCTGCCAAAGTGAATGTTATTTTAAGCACAAGTTGCGTCTGATTTACCCTAATTTAGGCAATTGAGCATAAACGCATGTTCAGAAAGCGAATGATGGAAGAACCAAATAGGAAATGAAATAAATATTTTTTTTGAATCCGGCATATGTAGAGTGTCTTGAATGTCTACGCAATGCTGGTTTAATGACATTGCGCTGGTTTAGTACTATCCAAGACAGAATTTGGTCATAAGATTCATAATTTTACCAAAAACATACCTCCGACTTTATGATTAAAGTATAGAGAAGAAAGAAAACGTACTATAGTTACAGTTTTTCATCTCCGAGGTGCAGTTTCATTTAAAGATTTTTCAACAAAACAAACACACACAACATCAACATTTCATTTTCTTCAATATACAAACCATAACAATTTTTCATGATGACAGATATAGAATCGGTTAGATATTCCTCCTGATCGTCAGTAGATGTTTGTCGTGTATCAGCATGCTTGCTCAGCTTTACGTCTCCATGAAGAGCGCGTCTCAGAACAGGGACTATGTCGGCCCCACGCGTGTACGGATACATTATACCAACGACAAGCTTATCAGGAAACACCACTCGTTCATCATCACAAGATACAGCCTTGCCTGGTTTGTACGACAAGATTTCATGTCGTAATGTAGCCACTCTTGTCTTACAATCCGCTTTTGAAGAAGCCATTTTGAATGACTACCTGCCTATAAGTATGAATAAGTACAACCTAATGCAGTGAATTCAATCAGTATATTCTCGTACGGCAAATGTTTATTGTTCAAAATATGGCTTTCACGGACTTTGTACTCTCAGTGTTTCCGAAATCATTGCTAATTTAAAATTTTGTATGAGTTAACGATTCGCTCTGGTGGTCTTTTAAACTGATGCACTCCTTTCGTTTTGTTCATATGACAGTTACGTGTATGTGCATCGATTTGACTCGTGATCACTGTGCTGCCCTTTCCCAAGCCCCACCCCCCATCCATTGTTGAATGTGTTAAAGCATCAGTGTGACGACCACACACACATAGTACTTTCAAGGTGATAGGCTAAAATATATAATTGATTTCATGAATGAATATTAATTTAATTAAAATGGTTTACTAATAACATTTCATCGGGGCTAAAGGCCGAATTGCGTTTACAAAATATACAAAACAAAAATATATTCAATCATAACAAATAGGTACAGACACAATAATACAAAAAATAAATGCGACTGCGTCTCCTTTATGACTCTGCCCTAAATTCAGTTTAGGAAATGGATGGATATTCGTGACATATCACAATAAAAACAAAAAGGCTATTGCATATTTATTCTACTTTCCATTGGGTCTCATTCCTTGTTTGTCTAATGCCCATTTCGTCTACAACCCATAACGTCTAATAATCATTTAATCATATGTAATAATAATCGTCAAATAATTATTAGACCTTATGTATAGTAGACGAAATTGGCATTATACATACTGGGAATTAGACAAGCTGGTTAGTAGAATAAATGAACAATAGACCAAATGGGTAGTAGACTCATTGATGATAAGACAAAATGGCTTTTAGGATGTTGAATGGTCATTAGACCAAATGATAAGTAGACGAAACGATTATTAGACCGTAAAGATAGTAGACGGGCTGGGTGTACACCATTTGGGAATAGACTAATTGGGTAGTAGACCAATTGGGTAGTAGACCAATCGGCAACTCACCGTATGATTTATGCTCCGTAACACAACTTATATTATAGAAGGGAACTTATTAATACAAACATGTACAAGCTTTTCTTTAGTTCTCATACTTCAATTCAGAATAAAGCTGAAATTGCCTTTGTGTTTATATTTGCGATTTACTCGGATGAATGAAAATGAAAAGCTTTAGTATGTTTGTTTTCGTTGCTATTTTTTGATTTTGTAGGACCAATCATCTCTTCAGTTACCTCACTTTCACTTTTGAATCAGACTAACATTATGTTTACGTTACCAATAGCATGGGCTTTGACATCATTATTGCACGGTTTGGATGTGCACAATATTGTTTACCTGATTTCAATGTGCTTTCATGGAAAATTAAATGGTTAAACTGAATTAAACTGTGGGTATTGTTCCTCGCCGCATATTTTGGGCATGATCGTATAAGATAATAATACAAAATTAGCTTCCGCATACTGAAAAGCCAAATAAATTTGCAAATTGAGACCTTTGCAAATCGAAAAGGGTTGCAATTTCCACTGCAAACACTTTTGAGTATTGTTACAATTTAGTCGAGTAACCGTGGTTACGTGGTCCACACTGTGACTCTTGATACAACATCACTACGTGAAGCCAGAAGGGTGTTATATCATTCTGATTTAACACTGATTTAACGTCCTTCTGGCTCTAAACACTCAAGTATGGGTTGAATGAGGTGCTGCGAGTAAGGATCATACGCACGTCATATCCATGTTAAAGTACATAACATAACAAAGCTTAAATAACTTTTCAGGATAAAACGGATATATGCCTTTTGGCGCAGAGAGAAATCAAGAAATATAATTGATGAAATTTTATGTAGCGCAATTATTATAATTCTGCATGGGTATTTTTCATTTCAAGCAATGTTTGCTCATAATATGTTATCAATATTGAGTCCAGGATGTCTGATATAATTATGAAGTGTTTGTTTGTTCTGTTTTGTAAAGCGCTTAGGTACATCGTTGGATCGGTGTATTGAGCGCTATATAAAAAACCGGATTATTATTATTATTATTATAACGACTTGCTCTTATCTTCCCAATAGGTAGATAGGAACATTATTTAAAATCGTATCTCGATCATCCGGTCAGAGCAAGCTCTTGAGCGTACGTAAGAGAGAGAGAGAGAGAGAGAGAGAGAGAGGGGGGGGGGAGAGAAAGGAAGAGAGAGAGAGAGAGAGAGAGAGAGAGGGGCGGGGGTCTGCATAATTTATGTATTACACAATTTTTTATTAGTTTCGCCTTTAGGTATCAATGTATACCTTTTGAGTTTTCGTACTATGTCGGTGCTATTTCATAGTTTCCAGCATATTGTAACGAAACCGGAACTCTGTCGAATACTCCCCAGCAGCTTATCTTGTCAGGATTGCCTTCTGCTGGTAGTTTTTCCTAGTCCAGTACCAATTTCGCCGTGGATCCGTTTGGCAGAGATATACTACCCCGTTGACCTTGCACCACCTCTCGACCACCGTCCAATTGAAACTACCCGGTCGTGATAGATCAGCACTGCACCATTGTCTACCCCAGACCACCGACCACTAGTTCACCTAAACAGCAACCATTAGTCCACCGAAAGAACAACCCCTTGTATTGTCTAGTGCCAGAATGCAAAAGACTCAACAAAGACAATTCCAACCATGGTCGTCACCTAAAATCAGACTTCAACTTTAGGTTTCCCCATGGAAAGACATGCAAACGATCATCTCAATCATTTCGTTGCACGCAATACTTTATTGGGCAAATATCCAAACATAATCTTAATGCCTTACAATGTAAGTGTGCCTAGTGGGCGACGGCAGTTATGTAGACTATGACAGGAAACTCACCGACACGTGTGTGTATTGGGTTTTTACAGACGTGTTTCAATCAGATATGATTATTTACGTCTGGGACCGACCTTTAAACGTCACCATCCGAAAGACGTGACTCAGTTTCGAACCTGCGTCCTCGGCTGAATCAGTTTGTAACTTCCACTTTTTAGCTGGATTACAGGCGCACACCACAACGCCTGGTTATGAGACAATTGATTTATATATACATTTCTTATACATTTATTATTCTGGTTAGGTTTCCAAAAATTACATAAACATTGATATAACTCCACTTTCCAATATCAAATTGAAACAAACCATATATCAAATGAAAGCACTAGTTTTATTCTATAAAACTAAAAAAAAAAAAAAAGTAATTATTAATGGTAGAAAAGTAATTACACTAAAATTGTCAAAAACATGCACAATCGAACATTCTTAAAATTAACACGTGACTTTAGCGTCGTATATTTAACCTGAATTACGCCATCTACGCCGAAATAACTATCTACGAAATGAAACCAATTTCGTGACACAACTCCCTTCTTTTTCTTAGCTCGGTCCCCGAGCGATATCTAACAACAATTTACAAACTGGCATATAACACATCTACAAAAAAATAACGTCCATGGCATTTGGGTATCCTTCCTTTACTGCCTCCAGGAACATAATGACATATATATGCAAACAAAAAAACATTCTTAAATACGACATAAAAAATAATGTCTAGGTACATAAAGATGTACCTTTTTAACTTGTCTTTAAACTTAACAAAATAAATGCAAAGAACAGTTTAAAGTGAGGAAAGAGTTCAAAACTACTCTTTCTTTTTCAGTTCCTCAGTTACCACTTCCAAGAGTTCTCCCTCCTTGGTGATGTAGCGCTCAGTGGTGCGAACGAAGATGACGTCTGGGGGGATCTGGAATGTGTCAGTAGACTTGTTCAGGGGCACCTTCCCACCGGGACCAGCGGTTCTAAGTTCATGCAGTGCTGACTGAATTCTTTGACGAGAACTATCAGTGTCAGTTTGAGTTTCAGCATTCTTACTAGTTATTTCAGTCCACTCACTAGTTGATGCAGTCTCCGACGCCATTTTCCTAGATGAATATCGCAAGTCAAGTGGTGAAGGGGACCTTTCGTCGTAATCCAACTCTTCTTCTGGTTCGGGCGTAGATTGTCGGCTATGTCGAGTGGAAGCTTCCGATCCATCATGCTGTGGAGACTCCGGGTTCTTTTGACGTGGCGATTTCGGTAGTTCTTTTGGGGGTGATTTGGATTTTCGTCGCGGTGAGCGAGAACGACGGGGTGAGCGAGAACGACGGGGTGACTTCCCTCGAGATCTGTCCAATCTTGGATCATCACGTGGTGGTGACTGTGAGTTCATTCTTACAAGACGCCACGATGCATCAGCTTTTTCAGAGGTCCCTGCAATTGACGTGGAAGTACTAGGTTTGCATCTTGGCGAATAAACAGGCGTTAAGCTGTGTTTTCTCACGGGTACCACAGCTACAGCGTGGGCTCCCTGATGCCGCTCCATCTCAGTCTTCCTACCCGTGCGATAATCACATTGGCCGCAACGATACTTCCGGATATGCACTTCCCGCTTGTGTCTTTGCAAAGAGTCTTTCTTCTCATAACTTTTGGTACAAGAGTCACATTGAAAGAAGTGGGTAGTCGCACGTCGGGCATCGCCGTCTCTGTTTTTCTGCTTGTCGGATGGCATGTTTCTGGCAAAACATAAACAATTGGGTTAATAATAAGGCATGTCACACATTATACATCAATGGAAACTGTTAATTACATGAGCTTATTAGGATAAAGTTGCAATCTCTTTCCTTTTCTCTGGGTTGCCCACCCATCACTTTACTCAGTGTTGCCATTCTTGTCTCCCGTCGGTGGTCTGGAGGGGGAGGAGTCATACTCCCAGATATCTCTAGCTTTACCAGTGTATGGTTTTAGTCGATTTGCATGGACAATGAATGTCTGGTCCTCGGAGAAAGTTGTAGGCGGAAAGTCACATCGGAAAGTTGGGTGACTACCAAATATGGCCCCAGCCATCTGGGTTGTAGCTTTGGTGGAAGACCCTTCTCTCTGGTTTTCTTTCTCATCCATACGAACTCTCCAGGCTTAATCTGGACCGATTCAGCCGCCCTGTCATAGTGCTGCTTCTGACGGCTCGCTGCATCTTTCAAAGCCTGTCGAGCCTTCTCATGAACACTTCTCATGGTCTCTCGAAGCTTCAAGGCGTAGTCTGTGTTCAGTTGTTCCATGGTTTCTGGTACTGGTGGAATGGCAAGATCAGATGGCAGAACAATTTCACGCCCCATCATCATCATACTTGGTGTCTCCCCTGTAGACTCCTGAGGACAACTCCTATATGCGGCAGTGGCAAAAGCAAGGTATCTGTCCCAGTCTCTCTGCTGAGCTGCTGGGTCTAGCAAGGATGCTATGGTGTCGACAAGCGTACGATTGTACCTTTCTATCATCCCATCTGACTTTGGGTTATACGGAGTTGTTCTGGTCTTGGATATCCCCATCAGCTTACAGACTTCGCTAAATACCTGAGATTCAAAATTGCGTCCTTGATCAGAGTGCAGATAACTGGGTACTCCGAATCTACAAAAGAACTCCTGCACTAGCTTCTCGGCAACAGTCTCGGCTTTTTCATTGGGTACGGGAAACGATTCCATCCATTTGGTGAAATAGTCACCGACTATCACAACGTATTTGTTGCCCTTGGTAGTCTCTGGTAGTGGTCCAAGGATATCGACTGCGACCCTTTCCATGGGATAGCCACTAATCCTTTGTTGGAGTGGTGCTCTCCGTGTCCTGGTACTGGGTGCTTTCCGTCTAGCACAGACATCACATTGACGTATTGCTGAACGGAGATCAGCTGTCATTCCTACCCAGAAGTACTTCTGCCTTGCACGACCCAAACACTTGGATAGACCAAAGTGCCCTGACAACTTTGCTGCATGGACTAGCTCCATAATTTCTTGCACCATCCTCCGTGGTACAACCAATTGCCATCTGATTACTTTACCGTCATTGGATTCCCATCGGCGGAAGAGTATGTCTTCCTTGAGCTCCAAGGTATCCCAAATTTCCAGTAACCGTCTAGAAGCTGGTGACCAGGCACATGTTTCGTTACGACCAGGCTTGATTCCAAGTTTCGTTGCTGTGAGGACCGGACAGATATCTTTGTCTTCTCCTTGCCAGTCAGCAATCTCTTCTGAGCTCCTGTCAGTTACTGTTTCAACAAGTTGCACTTGCTCCTGTGCTGGAGCTTCTTTATCGGGTCTTCAACATTGTTGACATGGTCGCCTTGACAGTCCATCTGCATTACCATGTTTACGTCCCTCTCGATGTTCAATCTTTATATCATACTCCGAAATTACCTCCATCCATCTGGCCATCTGACCTCTAGGTTCTTTGAATTTCGTTAACCAACGAAGGGAACCATGGTCTGTTCGAACTAGGACTGGTCTTCCGTAGAGATATGGTCGAAAGTGCTTCAGGAACATTACAATGGCCAAGAGCTCTTTCCTGGTGACGCAATAGTTTCTTTCCGGCTTATTGAAAGTCTTGCTGCCGTAAGCGATAACTCTTTCTTCCCCATTCTGGATTTGGGATAATACAGCACCGGCTGCGTAGTCACTTGCATCAGTGTCAAGCACAAGTTGTCCTTCTGATTGTGGATAGGCAAGAATGGGTGGTGACACCAACCGTTCCTTGAGCTCCTGGAATGAAGATCGGCAGTCTTTAGTCCATACGAACTTATGGTTCTTTTCAGTGAGTTCATGTAGTGGTCTTGCGATGTCAGAAAAGTTTCTGATAAAACGCCGGTAATAGCACACAAGGCCTAGAAAGCTCCTGACTTCTCCAACTGTGGTAAGTTCTGGCCACTTCTGTACGGCTTCCAATTTGTCTGGCTCTGTTGCCACTCCTTCTGCCGAAACCACATGTCCCAGAAAGTGAACGTTGGTGTGGAACAAGTGACATTTTGCGGGTTTCAACTTGAGTCCAGCTTGACGTAGTCTCTGGAATACCACCTTCAGTCGTTCTAGTTCATCCTCCACAGACTTGGCGTGTACTATTACATCATCCAGGTACACAAGCAAGGTATCCCATTTGAGTCCAGCTAACACACAGTCCATAAGTCTACTAAAGGTTGCAGGTGCGTTTGATAACCCAAAGGGCATTACTTTCCAAGAGTAGAGTGCACCATTGGCAATAAAAGCTGACTTTTGTTTGGCATCATCAGTCAACTCCACCTGCCAGTACCCGCTGGCTAGGTCCAAGGTGGAAAACCACTGTGCCCCCGCTAGAGCGTCAAGTGTGTCATCAATTCTAGGCAACGGGTAGGCATCCTTAATCGTCTCCGCATTCAACTGACGGTAATCGACACACATTCTTTGGCTACCATCTTTCTTTTTGACTAGCACGATGTTGGATGCCCAAGGGCTATTCACTGGTTTTATCAGGCCTTGAGCTAGAAGATTTTTGACTTGTTCATATATTTCATCTCTCTGCGCCATCGGGTGTCTTCTCTGCGCTTGGCGTATCGGTCTTGCGGTACCAGTGTCAATGCCATGTTGAACCAGATTCGTCTGGCCCAGATCCGATGGTCCTTTTGAGAAAACATCCGCATTGTCGACCAGCAGTTCCTTGATTGCATCATGGCATTGGTCTGCGACCTCACTGGTACTGCGAGCCAAGAGATCTTGTAAATGGTCCGGAATGTTTCTGCTTGTAGTGGTTTCAGTGGCCATCGTCTGGTGGCACATTTCTGTGCCCACTTCTTCCAGCGCTGACAATGAGGCAATGGCAGTGCCTGCCTTTATAGTCTTCTGTTCCCTTGTTGGATTGAACACCCTGACAGGCAACACATCCTCATCTGCCTTTACGACAGATCTGGCAACGATGAGTCCCTTTTTCACCAATTCGGTTGGGTTCACAGGAGGTTCTACCAGTCCTTCACATAGCGCTACCTTTTTACCCGTTACTCTGCCTGCTAGCACCATTTCATGTCCTGGAGGAATTGAGTAGTCCTCCTCTGTTACTATCCTTCTGCAGAATGATTCTCCTTCACTATCTAGGCATGGAATTATGCCCCACTTGGTCCTCAATTCCATCTTCTGGCAGTCAAGTACAGCATTAATTTGAACTAGAAAGTCTAGCCCAAGAATGCCTTCGTTCTTGAGGCTGGCCACCGTAACCATTGTAGTGACAAGTGAATCTCCGATCTGTACTTCCAGCCTTGATCTACCTCTGGTCCTCAACGGGCTCCCATCTGCTTGTAGTACCACGCTGGTCACTGGTAATAACTCAGGTCTTCTATTGTCCTCTATCCGGTCAAACACCTTGTCTGAAATCAAAGTGTTGGTGGCTCCGGTGTCGATCAGTAATTTCAAGGACTGTCCATTGACTTTCCCTTCCAGAAAAAGTCCTTTCCTGTTAAAATCCTGAGACGAGCCAACTCTGGTCTGCTCCTCTTCTTCTGTGATACCATTTGCAGTTGCCCACTGCAAGTTTGTATTTGCTGCTGCTGCTGAAGGTGCTGTTCCTCCCCTAACTTTCCTTGGATAAGGACATTGGTTCCTCCAGTGTCCTAATTCATTACAGTTGAAACACCGGTTATCTTCCAGTTCCGAGACTTTAGTTGGCATGGTTTTTCCGGTCTCCTATTTGGTACATCTGGTCTAGTCGTATTCCTCCTATTTCTCATGTCTAAGGTGTCTAATACAGCCTTTACTATCTCATCGATAGTAGGAATCCTTGGTTGCTGTTCTCGGACGGCCGCAATCTCACACTCTTCCAGTGCTCGACTGTACCTGGTCAAACGCTTCACTTCATTTCTCTACCCCTCCATCCTCATGAAGGCCTCTGTGTTTAAAGCTGCTTCCACGGCATCATCAAGTGTGCGAGGTTGAGCACGGAACAATCCTTCTCTTATTTCTGGTGTTACTACAGCATCCAGAAAATGCCCACGGGCTAGTCGGTCTTGTCCTTTTTCGTCGAACTCGGGGTAGGACAAAGCACACAGCTCCCGTATTGTTTGTCCTAATTCCTGGAGGCTTTCCTTTGGTTGCCGACGACGCTGTCTCAACTCTGCTAGGTATACCTCAGCTTTGCCTCCAAGACCAAACCGGTTCTTGAGTCTGTATACCAACTCGTCGTACGTCAAATCCACTCCAGGCTGTTGGGTTAACAACTTCACAGCAGATCCCCTCAAACCTGCAGCAAGAAACTGCACTGCTTCTACTTTGGTCCATTTGTTTACTCCAGCACATGCCTCAAAATGGTGCAAGTAATCCTCGACAGGAGTGTGGCCGTCAAATCTGTCTGGTACCATATGCGGCCGTCTGCCGATTACTGCATCATTTGACCTCCCCACATCCTGCATAGGTGGAGAGAAAAGCGGTGGTGTAATATGAACTTCGGTTCCTGCAGTGGGCATCCGCCTAGTTTGTTGTCGGGGCGTTGAACTAAATCTAACCCGCTGTGCCGCTGACATCTGTGATTCTGCAGTTGGTCCTGATGCAGTTTGTCCACTCAGAGTTGGGGGAAATGCCTCCTGGCGGCGACCTGGTTCTGAGTCTGCAACTGGTGCCTGGCTCATTGAAGCACGTAGTTGCTCCATCATTTGATCTATTTCTGTCATACTCCTTTCTAAGTGCGTCATCGTTTCTCTTGGCGTTGGTCGATTCTGCATATTTCTTC